TTTTTTTTTTTTTTGGATGTGTCATAGAAGCATAAATTCAATGTATTTTTGTTCTTGTATTTACTTTTAGGGCGGAAATGTTTTACACTCTATACATAATCTTTTTTTTTTTTACACGCAATTATATACATAAATTTTTCTTTCAAAGACATTTCAATAAGAAGAAAATTTCAGCTCAAAATTACGAAATGATATGAGTTATCATAATTGCATATATAAATGAATGGCATAAAGATATAATTTAATTTGAACTAGTTGAGTTAAAAAATACAAAAATTCTATGGAGCCGTGCATGATTTATTATAGAGCTATCCACTACTTATCCTATGGTAGACAAATAAGTTAGTTTATAGTTAGTTATAAACTTCATGTATTCAAATGTATTGACACTTATTTAAAATGTATTTTATTGCAGGACACGTGTCAATACAGTATTGGTGAATAAGTGTGGATGACTCTATTAGTTGAGTCATCTGATAGTTCCACAACAAAATTGAAAGAAACATATATAAAAGTTATTGCTAAAATATATTTTTTATTTAAAAGTTTTGAGTGATAGTTCCACAACAAAATTGAAAGAAACATATATAAAAGTTATTGCTAAAATATATTTTTTATTTAAAAGTTTTTATGGACTAATTGATGAAAAAAAATAAAAGGAATAGACATTTGTAAATCCTAAGTTAGGAGAGAAATATGGGAAAATATTATTATATGGTAAGATTGCTACTTGCCCAAACCAAGAAGGAAATGTATACTAAGAGAAAAAAATAACTAAATTAAATATAAACTTATCAAGTTTGAAAAAAGTTATTTATTTCTAATATCAAACCTAAGCAAAAATGAATAAATAAACAACGTTACGAAACATAAATTTTTTCCACCTCAACATCCAAAGCGTGAGAATCTGACACTTAGGCTCAACATGTTTTGAATTAATATATAAGGAGGGATTTGGAAATTTTTATATATCCTACTTGATTCTAAAAATATTGCAAATATACAACCCATAAACAAATAATTACAAATCTACCTAATACATAATAAGTAACATTAATACTTAAATTTGGTTACTATAATCTTCAACATTCATCCCCTTTTTTATGGAATTGAATAAGAGAGAGAAATGAAAAATATGTCTATAATAAATAACTAACTCATTTAATTCCGCGCAATTGGAATTCTTTAATTCACGCAGCTCGTGTGGTATATATTGAGTATATGTTAGTATATATTCAATATATGTCCGCAGCTGAAATTCCTTAATTCATGCAGTTGTCAGATAGTATATATTGAGTATATGTCAGTATATATTCCATATATGTGCACAGCTGGAATTCTTTAATTCACGTAGTTGTCATGTGGTATATATTGCGTTTATGTTAGTATATATTGCAATGAAAAAAAATGTCTTCCATAAAAAAAATATATCTTCCTCTTTTTTCTTTTTCTTTTTATACATAAAAGTATATATATAGTTTAAAAACATATTATAACAAATCACTTAATATAAAATCATACATATACACAACACCTACAAAAAAAAATCAGTTTATGCTAAATATAAATAGATTTTATACATAAAAATTATGTCTCGCGATAAATTTCTTTATCATACACCGAAAATATACTGAATATAAACCATACATTTACCAAAAANNNAAAAAAAAAAAAAAAAAAAAATCATCAATTTATGCTTTGTCAATATAAACCATACATACATATAGGTAGCCCTGATATTATACAGAACATATACTCTATATATACACAACATATATCTGCAACTTATACAAAATGAAAACTATTTATCTACGAATCAAGCACATCAAGTATTCAAACAATTATCCTCTGAAAAGTTTTTCATCCAAAACATATACTGCACATATACTGAACATATACTACATATACAACTAACATAAGGATCTCCTGGCACTCGGTCCAAACACCTTAAAATAAGCATAAAACAAACAACTACAAATTAATTCGTACCAAATGAAAAAATCGAACCAAACATCAATTTTGATGACAGAGTAAATTCAAGTTCTTGTTTCACTCATCTCACTTTACTCGTAGCCCCAGGGATGGATCTTTTTAAAGACAAAGAGAAAGGGATTTGAACATTCAAAAAGAATGGAAAAACCTAACAATTATAAGAGCAGAATTCAAAACACCAACTTACTCGAATGTTATGTGCAGAGAAGAGAAAAGAGAAAATGAGGTAAAGAAATTGGGGGCTAATAAATTGATATTGTTAAAATTGGGACAAATAATTTCCAAGAAAAATAAATAGTACTTTTTTGACATGAATAATTACTACAATACAGAAAACTTAAAAAAAAATCTTTAAAATATCAATTAAATACCTAGTGCATAAGCAGATTTGAGATTCAAAGTTCAAACATAGACCGTCTATTTGGCAAATTTCAACCTCAAAAACACCAGACGAGCATTTCCGAATCAGCACCACAAGTATTTTCAATCATGAATCCGGAATCGAAACCAAAATCATCCGACGAAACCCACCACAAGCCGAATGAACTGAAATTGGACGCCACCACCTCCGCCGGAGGCGAAGTTGGTCAACACGGTGGATATGCCCCATATCTGAAACTCGAACTGGATGATGTCGTGCCGGTCGCCGATACTTGGAGCCCCGCTTCACCGGGGACCTTCCGCGCTCTACCATTTCTGATAAGATCCCAGGCTATACTAGCGACGTGTGATCTTTCTTCCTTAAAATTAAGGATAAGTTACTAAAATTTGAATATTAGGTATAATTGAAAATATTTGTAGCTTTTTTAGATAATTTTAAAAATAAGTATATAAAGAATAGAAAAGTGTAATATAATTTAAATGTGTTAGTACAGGGTGCAATTTCCTCATTTCTATTGTATAACATTATATCGACTTCGTTTGTTTGGTGGGTGACGAATACAAAGTTATCAATATTCATACTTCCACAAATACATGAATCCGTGGAAAATACATTTTAATGTGAAAAACTTGCGGTTGAAACATCTAACGAAACTGATGTATTTATCCCAAATGATATGGGATACCATAGCCGGTCGGGTAAGGCCAAATGAGTGGTTCGACTAGACCGGGTGAAACCGGCAGGTCGATCGGACAATAAAGACGCCAGAGGTCGAAGAATTACCAGGTCGACGGTGACCTTGCACGCAAGGGAGTTCACCAACAAGTCGAGGTAGGGCTCTCAATTGGCCTAATAGAAACTCAAGCTGGAGGCAAGCAGATCGTTGGCATAACATAACATAACATAAATATTCCACACGCGGGAGCTCAGAGCAACATGGGTCATAGGATGTTGATCTAGTCGCACAATTAGACCATGTAAAAAGGCAAGCTGATGTGAACACACTACTTAAGAAATAATAACGAACATTAATAGGATAAGGACCACGACCTGGACAGTACAAACAGGTCGCTCGGGCAATCGGGCAGCCTTGGACAACAAAATGACATTATTAATCACCCACTTGATTAATTGATAGGCTCACTTGTGCAAATTGGAATGATGTAAGCCATTGAAAATTTATTTGAGGAGCCACGCAAGAGGAATTAATTAATTTTGGAGGGCACACCCATTATTTATTTAACTGAAGGATCAAATAAAAAGAAAACAAGCAGCCACCAAAATATCAGGCTTGGGAGAATCGTTGGGCATCAACAGAAGAAGAAAAAAGATGCAACAACAGAGGGAAGAAAAAACATACAGAGACATGATAAGCCGATTAATCGCGGATGGAAGCCGCATCCGCACACGAGGAGGATAAATATATTCTTCTCTTTCTTTTATTATTTATAATGTTAGACTAGATTTTATTTCAAGTTCAAGGGATGCAAACCATGCGTAATTGACTATGATTAATTAGTTACGGTGATTGATTATTTTACTATTTATATAGAATTGATTATGTTATTTTGTTTCAATCAACAATGATGTGTTTAATAGCATTTAGATTGATTGCATAGATAGGGTTTTTCATGTCTAATATTAGAAATGAATTTGCACTCCATAATTGTTCTTGAGTTTTCTTCGTTAGTAGCAAACAATAGTTAGAAACTGTTAGGAATAACACACCAAATTAACTAGGCCGAGCGTATGAAACTACTAATTAGACTAGTCTATTTTCTTAGATTCTAAAGCTAATACTGCATTAAATCTGGAGAGCGTGTTCTAGACTGTCTAGTAGTTAGGTTTCGCAGAAGAGGATGTTTCGTCTAAATTTATTGTAAGAGAAAATTCGGGTAACAGAGCGTGTCGTTACATAGGGTTTGTAATTTCGGAAGATAGTGAAACTTGACATCACAATTAGTTAGACTAGTCGAGTGATGGCGTAGACGGAACTGCGAACTAGAAATTTCTCTTAATTAATTTTATTTTTATTTTCTTGTTTAGATTTCATTTGGTTACTTAGAATTTTAGTTAACTTAGTTACTAAATTCAATCCCCCCCTCTTTATTATTTTTTTAATTTTAATTAATACGAGAAAATCACGATTTGATTCACACTCCTTGTGGAATCGACTCATACTTGCTGCTACTACTAGCTACTAGAAGTTTGTCGAGAAAAAATATAAATTCTAATTTTTCATGTTGCGACGCGCAGTCAGTCCCCCTAGACAATATTTGTGATCAACTTCTTTGGGATCATGTTCACTTGGGAGCTGATAAAATGCATATGTATTGTCGATCGAAGTTGATACGAATTGTGATCGACCTTGGGGGTATAAAATGCACCATCTTTGAGCCCTAGGCCCTAAGGTGAGGGAAATGGTACGACATCTAAGAGCATCGCTCGCCCTGTACAAGTTTATCCAAGACATGTATTGGGCTAAATGAGAATCATGATTGGTGTCTCCATTAGGAAGGCCGATTTAGAGGATTTTTATATTTATGTGCAGGACCTCACCCAAAATGTGATAAGAAAGAGAGGAATTAGGTTCTGGTGACAACAGTTTTGCTATGAAGTCAACAGTTGTCTCTATAGTGGAACCAACCTTCTATATACAACAAGTAAATCATACCATATTAATAGAAGTATTAGTATTTATTTAAGTAACCAGAGAATATGGTATGGTTTACTTGTTGTATATAAAAGGTTGGCTCCACTATGGCCAACTGTTGGCTGCATAGCAAAACTGCTGGCGACAATCCCAGAGAGGAAGGAAAACTGAAAAGGAGATCGAGAATAGGCCGATGCGCTAGGTTCGTAGTCTACCGGGCTTCGAGCTCTGCGATCCGCTGTTTAAGTGTGGCGATCTCTTTAGCCTCACTGTGAAGGGCTCTTTTCGTGATCTGGTGGCGAAGATCTCCGTGCCGAGGATTATTATCCAATCGTTCGAACACAGTGATAACGTTTGAACTACTGCGACACCATCACGAGCTTGACTTTCATCCACTCATTCATGGGACTTGGTAGGGCAGTCAACCATATGCTTGTCCCATTTATTGGCCCCATGAAGATCGAGAGAGTTTCCTTCCTGGGATGCCTACATTTATGGTAGTGTATTCTTGGGAATAGGTTTTTTAGGGAAAAGTACGACGGGGCATATTATGAAGCATTTGGGTGAAGAGATTGGTGATGCCTTTAACGAAGACAAGATTATTGAAAATTTGGCTTATATCGGTGAGGGGAGGATAATTATCCTATCGATCGTCTTGGTTATTGATGGGTAATTGGACGACAACATGGCTTTTCAGGTGGCTAAAGTAGTGTGTGCTAGCGAACAACAATTGAAGTTCACTAAACATTTTATGTCCTCCCTTTCTCTAGTTCCAATTTATTGATAATGCGAATTTACCAAATGTAAATTAATGTGGTTTATAGGAATTAAAACGTAAAAAACAAGGTAATTGTGATTGCAGATAAAATAGACATATGCAAAGAAGTATTTATTGCTCTTTGAATGTGTTCGTGAGTAAAAGCTTGAACATAGTCCCGCGTAATGTCCAATTTAATGTATTTATACAAGATATAAATGGAAAGACGATGTTTGTCGTGTGCCAACTAAGGGTGTGCTTGATAGACATGTGTCTAGGGGAGGAGCATGCACGGCGACAAGCGTCAATGTAGCTTTTGATGATGAGACATGATTGGACGACCGCTTTTCCGATTCCTATTCACATTTGAGTTGAGAGATCGACGCTGGGAATCGTGAACGGATCGACACGACTCGTTCTGTGAGCCTACGGCCCATTAGTGTGCTTCAGGGCCCAAAAATTTGTACATGTTATATATAATTTATTGGAACCATTTACATATTGGGCTTATGTTTTTATAAAATATTTTTATCACTTTCTTTCTTTAAATTTACAAGTGGAGGGATGCTTGTCAAATATCAACCCCGCCAATTTCCCTCTTCAGCCCTCCTTCCATGATTCTGTTATTATTTACAGAGAGAAGATACAAAAAACCTGGAAATAAAAGACACAAAATTTCTTCCTTCTTCTTCTTCTTCTTTCCTTTGTATTTCTCCTGAAAATCCTTTTTATTGCAAAAGCTCCATAAATTTGTCAACAATATTTGATTGATTATACGCACAGAGCGAAAATTTGGTCCAAAATCCGATCTTAATTTCTGGGTGAATTTGATTTGATAGTCGTTTGGTTGTCTGCTGCTGCTATGTTTAACGCACCATTTGCCCTCTCATTAGCCCTTCTGCTCTCCTTCCCATTGCTTTTCCTCTTTGCCCCTCACATCCTCCCTCCCAAACACGCCCGCATCTCCCTCCCCGACGAGCTCGACGACATCGCCCTCTTCCGCCGCGCCACACTGGCCTCCCTCGACGGCGGCGGCGTCCCCAAAA